TAAAAAAATAGTACACAAACTAATAGGCCTAAAGTCATTCCAAGAATTCACAACATTATTCTTGGGAATAAGCACAATAGAAGTAGAAGAAAAAAACTTCAGAATAGGAGTACCATTAAAGAAATCAATGAAAGAAGAGAAAATATCATTAAAAATAATAGGCCATGTTTTTTGAAAGAACTTAGTAGTAAAGCCATCCAGGCCAGCTACAAAATCCACATTCATACCAAATAAAGTCTCTTTAATCTCTTCAAGAGATGGAGACTTAGATAAACCATATTTATCCTCTTGAGAAATAATATAGGAATAATGGACGGGTTAGAAATAATGGTAGGGTTAAAAGATTTATTAAGATGGTTTTGAAAAAAATTAACAGCCAGATTAGCAATCTCATCACTATCCTTAGTAACAGAGCTATCCTCACGAGAAATTTTATTAATGCAGTTAATAGCACATTTCTTATTCACCAAAGCATGAAAATATTTAGTATAGTTATCTCCTTCTGCCAAATGCTTGACAGCAACTTTCTATTTCCAAAAAATTTCTTCTTGAGCTTGAAGCTTGCAAAAGTCCACTTTAGCTTCATTCTGAAGACAAAGGTTGGACATAGAGGGATCCAACTAATAAAGATCCTCGGTAGAATTAACCCTATCTTCCACAAGTAAAATATTAGAAAAATGATATTTGAAAACATTATGATTCCACTTGTTCAAAACTTGCTTAAGCCTTTTCAATTTATTCCAAATTCTATTCATTCAAGAAATAGAATCATTCGGGAAAAGAGGAGCTTGCCAATTATTCTGAACCACCTCAACAAAAGTCTCATGTTGCAACCACATGTTTTGAAATCTAAATTGAGGAGTACCCCTGGTTATATTCTTAATTTTGATAAGAAGAGGGGAATGATCAGATAGAGTGCGACAAAGGTGATCAACCTTAGTCAAATCAAAAGAGTTAAGCCATACATTATTGAAAAGAACTCTATCAAGTCTTTGTCACAAGTGCCCACGATGCCAAGTAAAATTATTGCCAGAAAACTCAATATCAATGAGGTTACATTCCATAATCATGTCATTGAAATCCTTCATCGACTAATATATAGGAAGAGAGCCCCCTATATGCTCAGTCGGGTTCATAATAGTGTTGAAATGACCACCAATATGCCAAGGAATGTTGTAAATACTATGAAACTGAATGATTTTATCCCATAAAATTCTTCTAGTATAATGAGAGGAAGCAGCATAAATAAAAGATGCACAACATTGGAAATTAGAACTTTCAATGTTATAATGCAAAACTTGAGTAAAGTCCCCAATGATATCAATTCTAACATAATCTTTCTAGAAAACCCAAATTTTATTGGCAATATTTAACTTAGCATATTTGAAACCCAAATATTTAGCAATACAAAGTAATTTATCCACAGCAATAAGAGGTTCAAGCAAAACAAGAATAGACACATTATGAATACGACATAAATTTTTAACTCTAAACTTAGAAGAAGGGAAACCAATACCCTGGACATTCCAAATGATGGCGTTAAACATAAAAAATCAATTTAATGTGAAGTATGCAAACAGGTATTTCTAGGAGATTGTAAGAAAACATTTTTTGGGTTTTCTATCTCTCTTACCACAACCCTTAGAGAAGCTCAAATCATGATCTTCTCTAGCATAACATTTAGCTAAAATATCCACTTCCATGTCTGTAAAATCATCGCAATGATAATGATCAATTAAGAGAAGCTTACTATCATTTAAGTTGCCTGAATACCCCTTAGAAAGAGGCAGCTCACCTTCCATATAAAAAACACCATCTTCCAAAGTAGAAATATTTCTCTCAACTCCTCCATAGAATTCCTTAAAACTCTCAGATTGGGCATTAGGAAGATTCACTTGTAGGGACAAATCTTCCTCTGATAAAAAAGGATTAACTCTTTCATTAAGAAGATCATTAACCTGCTCATTCACAGACATGGATTGAATAGGATTAGGACAATCAATATTAATATCAGAAACAAATATTTGGGGTAAAGTTTGTTGTGTATCACAGGGAATATATGAAGAAGATTGATCGGGTATAATCTTGGAGTTAATATGTAACATTTGTTCCTCCCCATCAGATAGAACAGGTATTATTGCCATTAAAGGATCCATGGTTTGAGCACTAAGAAATTCACCTCCAAAAGAGGAAAACAAAATTAAGAAAAAGGGGGGGGGGGGGGGGGGGGGGCAACCTGAATAAGATCAGGCTGAATATTACCATCAATAATACCCTCGGTAGTAACTCCATTACCTTCCACCACAATATTATTCAAAGAATCATTAACATGAATATATGAATTTCCCTCTTGCACTTTAGAAGCCCTATTCAATTCTTTTTTCCTTCTTAAGGTGATGATGTAATTTAAAGCATTCACTCAAACCATGCTCGTGCATCTTACAGTGAGAACAAAAAATCGAATAATTTTCAAATTCAACCTTTTGGAAATAACAATTCAATTCAGAACCTAGCCATATCTCTGAAGGATATTTTTTAGAAAAGTCTTGCTCGACCAAAACATGAGCCACAGACGGCCATGAAACCGAAGCTGTGGCATGATCCATTTGTAGTGGCCTACCAAGAATAGAAATAAGCCCAAAAAGTACTTGAGAATTGAAAAAGTAGAGCCTCCTATTAGGGAAAGAAACCCACACAGGAGAAATAGGGGATTCCTCATGGACGTCAAAGTCAGGTGTCCATTTAAGAAGCCTCATTTAGAAAGCCTGAATGTAATACGATCTCCTTGAAAAAATCCGGCATAATCCAAGTTGTTGCTCAATTTAATCACAATATGATGAGGGTCAAGTAATCCAATGTGAAAGGAACCATAGAGCTTTAAATTCATGAAAATCTTGAGGAAAATGTCTAGATTAGGACGCCTCAAAACAAACTTACCCACAAGAGTAAGAGCAAATGGGGCAGCTAACTGAGCCACAATAGAATCGTCAAACATTAATGCAGGACAGCCCTTGAACGACGAGTAAATAAATTGGAAGGGGGGAAGAAGCAGAAGGTGCAATAAGTGTATCCTTAAAAGATTAAGATTTACCAATCAGAGTAGAATCCATTGGAGGGTAAGATGACGACGAGGTCTTCATACCCCAAAACCACAAAAATGACAGACAAAATAAAACAAAATATCAAAAGCAACATGAGAAAACCAAAAACAATGGGAAAAGAGCAAAACCAAGAGAATAAGCTACATACCACGCAAGGGACCACCTGAAACGAAACCACACGGGGAGCCCAGGAAGCTAAATGAGAACCCAAATCCATAAAAAGGAACCACATGAAAACTAGAGCAAAAAATTAGAGGAAATCCAACAAGGAAGACACCAAACAAATGTACGTAGAGAAGCCCTAGAATCACCTCAAAAGCCAGAGCAAAAGAGACATTACGTGTATGACCTTTTTCTATTTAAGTTAAAGGATGCATTTTTATTTAAACTATAACCGATACCAATTTTTGAATGAAATCAACTTTTTCTTTTTTGATTTTTTTTTTTTTTTGCATTTTTTACTTTTTCTTTTCTTTTACTAATTTTTTAGTACATACTTAATGATTTTGAACATTAATTTTTTCTTTATTCCTCTTGTAATCCTATAAATTCAATGTAAGGATTTAACAAGATCACTAGTTTAATTTTCAAGTTTACTATGATCCTCTTAAATTAATCTCATCCATTCCTTAGAATTAATTATTAATTTTTCAATTCAGGTTTGAAAGAGTTAATGTATAGTTTCTAAATTCAAAATTAAGTCAATAGCTTAAATGATTTAGGTTAGTTAATTGTTAAGTTTTTTACTTATGAATTATTATGCAATGTTCATTCACACTACCATCTAGGATTTTATTATTATCTCAATTTTGCATAATTTTAAATTATCATTTTTATTTTGGCTAAAAAAGTAATCAAAGTTTAAATAGAAGTTAAGGATAGTGTACAATAATTTAAGCACAAGGAAATTAATCAAATTTGAACAACAGAACACAATGCAAACTAATAGTTAATAATCATAACTAAACATGAAATCACAAATTAAAGATGACACCACACTTAATAAATAAACTAAGTAATAAAAAAGTTCTTGAAATATAAGTGGGTTTCAATCCATCAATGCTAAATTTATAGTCCTTAACTTTACTTGTCTAGATTTTTCATTTTGTTTGGGGTGCATTACTACCACTCCTGAAGTAGTTTCCATTATGATCTTTCTCTTTCTTTATAGGGTAACTTTAGTATTACTAGGTAATGAACCAAGAGGTCTACTTCTAGAAGAGATAACAAGTTGTCCAAATTAAGCTTACAAAATTTTGATTAAAGTAACTTGACTTTGTATTTGAGCTTCCAATTAAATCACTACCTCTTTCAAAGGTTTCATCCTATTTCCAAACTAATTTGTATGATTAAATCATAGATGATAAGAAAGTTTAGGATACACAATAGGTTACTTAGGATTACTCTAGTTTCCTCCTTGATTAGGTTGTCCCAAATTCTACTGATTATTGCCACCAACATTATTTAACTAATTAAAATTAGGATGGTTTCTCCAACCTTGGTAGTAAGTATTATAATAGATATTATTTTAACTTCTAATCAAATTCAATTTTTTTTATCTCTAAAGCACTAGTATCATAAATAAAATTCAAATTAGACTCTTCCAATTGTATAGATGATCTTGATGCTGAGTTAACACGAATAGTGTCTAATTTCTTTTAAAGCAGCTACTTGAGCAGCAAGAATTAATAAAGCTTCTAATTTATAAACTTCAACTACTCTCATAGTATTCACTATATTAGCAGGCTAATGGAAATTATATATATCCATTTCTTCTATTAGTTCATATGCTTCCTCAAATAGCTTAAACATTAAAGATTCACTAGTTGTAATATTTATAGTTAACCAAAGAGATCCTACTAATCCACTAGAAAGCTATGCATAACTAACCAATTAGGTAAGACATGGTGAGGGCATTTCCTATGTATTTCTTTAAATCTCTCCCAACTTTTATAAATTGATTCTCCAAAAAAATAGGCAAAGGAAGTGATATCATTTCTAAGTTTAGTAGTTTTTGAAGGTGGGAATTACTTAGCTAAGAATTTATGTGCCAACTCATTCCAAGTAGTTATAAAGCATGGGGAAAAGAATTCAAAAACATCATAGCATTATCCCTTAGAGAAATTCGGACCAATATAAATATAAATGCATCATCTCGACACCATTATACTTAAATGCAAATTTCTAAGAAATATACTAAGTGAAAGTTGTGATCTTCAACAAGAGCTCCCCCAAACAAGGAATTTTGAACCATTTAGATTATAATAAATTTAAATTCAAAATTATTGACCTGGATAGTAGGTCTATTAACACTCTTATGGATTCCTTCTACTATAGGATTAGCATACTCCCTAAGTGGTCTAGAATATTTTTGATATTATATTGGGTGAGACATTTTTAAAAACTTTTTAGTTTTTAAATATTTATAAGGGTCCTTTCTATTTTTAGATCAAGCATATAATAATGGTAAAATAACTAAAAATCATAAAGTGAATAATTGATCAAAAAACCTATTTAGATATTTCAAAATTTTTATAAAAAAAGAATAAAGATATTGGATGCAGGTAGGTTTAAATATGCAGTTATTTTAAAAGTATAGTTAAAATTGAAATACCCATGTTACTTCCCTGATAAGGATGCCAAAAACTTGGTGGTGGCGGCAAGCAAATGCTAATAGTATGAGTTACTATATGACTTACTGAGTTTAAAATATGCTTGGGTTTTCTTCGATATGAAATTAATATAAGCCACTAAAATACATAAGTGTACATATCAAATCAAGTAATAAAGTGATAGAGTAGGTGTCAAAACTACAAGAGGGTGTTTTTCTTAATTGCAACATAATTAATACATAAAATACAAGACTTATCTTATTGCGGATAAAAAAGATGTTCTTGAGTTTTTATCACTGAAAAAAAACTTGCAAGGAAAGTTGATACTTATGAAATTTAAGTGCTTTGGATTATTGAATGTATATAATGGAGCTTTCCTAATGAGATTCTTAATTGTAGATGTGGATCAAAGCATATGCATTCCTAGATCTTTGTTGAGCTTGTAAATTTTTTCTATCTCCATAAAATCTAGAATATTTAGACATCTTATATCTAGGCATGCCAACATTCCATTTCAGTACTCCTAATTATTATAGCATTCTATCGTGAAGGCTATACATCACATTAGGTTTTACCTACACACATGACCATTATATGTGTTAAATGAAGAATGAGAGATATTAAACATATCAATACACTCATTAAAGCAGAAGAGTTTTATTTGTGCATACTAGGCTTTCTACATCATTAGCCCAAAACTAAAGAATTAAACAGACATGGAGGAAATAATAAGTAATCTCATCTTCATTTTATTCATTGGAAGAAAATCTAAAAGAGATGTAATAAAAAAATTATCACTAGGAAGGATCAAATGATCTTGTCCACACTCCTTCCATGAAGAATAGAGTTTCTTACATAAATAGGCCATTATCTCCTTAAGGAAAAGTATCTTGCACTTCTCTAGCCTCCCTTAGACTTTACTCTAAAGGGGCACTAGTGAAGCAAACTTAAAAATACATGATTTCACTACAGTGATAGAACTCTCTGAATAAAAGAAATAAAAAACTATTTATGGTAAGCATAAGGATGCGTTCAAGGACTACAGTGCTCAATAAGGTTGTGCCATGATGGTGAAAAATGAACTAGTACCTTGGTGCTGTAAACTTTACTTCTCTACGGTGTTGGCTGGCATGACAGGTTTACTAATTGAAATGGTATATATATTTATTTACTTGGCACAGATCCTTGCATTGGTAACATCTCCACCATGATGCTCCAAAATTTGAGCACTATAGCTCTTAAATGTGAAATTTAGCACTGAGGCGTGGAAACATATGGCACTATGACACTGATTTTCTCGAGACACCCAGTGTTATAGTGCTAAATTTTGGTACCTATATGTTTTCTAACATCGTAATGCTAAATATGGTACTACTACAATTCTTGCAAATAGAAAAGATTGGCATTATAATGTCATAAAAGGACCCCTCATGAAAAGTGAACTTGATTCTACAATGTGATATAAGATGCCATCATCACGCTGCTTAACATTTTTAATTTTTTCCCTTTTTAAACATTTTATATACAAATAAAACTAAAATCACCCTTTTTTACTAAAATATAATTATAATAAATAGTATATAATTTAAACTTAACAACACACACACACACACGCGCGGACACACACACACGCACACACAGAGAGAGAGAGAGAGAGAGAGAGAGAGAGAGAGAGAGAGAGAGAGAGATATATATATATATACTTAAGGTCAAGTGCCTACAACATCACATCATCAATCTTGAAAGTAATAAGCCAAACCATAACTCTAAATTAAACCATCATATTATAATATGTATGAAAAAAAAATCCTATTTATAGCTAGGCCCTGGGATGCTTAAGGGATGTGTCTATCACAACACCTGCTTTATGTTAAGTCAATGAGGGTGTCAACCAAACTATGTATGTGGTATTTAGGTTATAAGTTTAACTAGATATTATTTAAATTTATTTAACCATGGTGGATTTGAATTTGAATCATTAATGATTTAGTTATCAATTTGCATTGGGTAATATGAAAGGTATTAAAAGAGTGGAGGTGAATCCATTCTCAACTCTTAAGGCATGAGCTAAAGGTAGATGGTTTCGTGCTAAGGAATGGGTTTGACCCCCATACAAACATCCTAAGCTTCCTATGCCTAAACGTTATGATTTTTAAAAGATTATGAGAATGATCAAAAGGATCAACCTACAACTAACTAAGTTTCAAGAAATCTACGGGGTCACCTAAGAAACTAATATGCTAAATAGGATAGGCACTTTAAGGCATAAGTTGTTCCTAAATCATCAAAGGCACATTATTAGCTAATTTAGGGATAAATAGTATATAGGGTTACATATAATAAACTAATTAAAGCGTTGATACAAAAGGATGAAGGCCCTATCAATGAGCCTAAGGTCACAAAAATTCATAAGTGGGAACGTCTCTAGTCTATCCATAATCATCTAAGAAGAAAAGTAGAGCCATATGAGAAAATCATTGAAAAATCCATGCATTATATGGATTTATCAAAGGCAAACTATTCTTTAAGGTCTAATGTATTCTAGAGTTAAGCTAATAGAGAGAATGTTAAGTCTTTTATTATTTACTAAGGCCAACTAAGGTTAAAAGGCTCAAAGGAGCTACTAATGACTAAATCGATGCCTTTTAAAATTTATGTTTTTATTGATTTTAATACAAGCTAATGAAAAATTGAGTCACAAATATTTTTCATTTAGAAATCATGAGTTAAATGTTTTACCATTCTTTTTAATATTTAAGAGGTTCTAAACACTTCTAAGTGTCCAAAGTCTACGTCTCAATATAAAGAATATATGACATGTATGAATAGGTGATTGATTTTGACTAATAAGGTCCAAATAACATAAGTGCAAAATATAAGCTATTCAAGGTGTCACTTTCACCCATGGGGTGAGTGAAAATCACTTGAGGTTTTGCTCTACCAGACCTATATAAGGGTGAAAAGTAAATAGCAGTCCAAAGGTGTGTGTGTGAACATTTTGTAGCAAACATGGAAAAGTTTAACAAGTTGCAAAAATTATACCTTAACCAAGATGCAAACTAAGGACAGTGCACATGCCTCACCAAATCAAAAGGGCCTCTCCTAAGGCCTAGGACTATAGATCAATGACCAAAACATGAATGAGTTGCTCACAAGAAACATAGAAAGAGAGTGTCTATAAGCAAATAATGTGAGCAAGTGAAATGAAAATATGCCTACCTAAGCCTAAATATTCATGAAACTAGTTTCACATAAAGTGGCAAACAAATCTTGTGAGTATTTTGGTATGCAAATCAGGATGTTCAAATGTAGTTCATTCATGATCAAGGGGGAACCTTGCTACCAATTTTGAATGTATGAGGTCACAAAGTGATATGTAGTTACCACTATTCCTAAGATTATTGAGAGCAGACTTATAAAAGAAATAGAGTTTGAGTAAAGCCCCAAAAGCATATCATATAATATGCACATAATCACATGATAGATATGGGATATCAGTTAACAATTTGGGATTTAACATTATGCTCATTCATGAGTATGGTAATATAAATTCATTCATTCATTGTGATACAAACATGCCATGAGTTGAATTATCAAATTTTAATTAAGTTTCCTTTTTGCTTTAGCGAAATCAACACAGATCAAATTACCAAATGGAATGATGTTGTTAACTGATATCCATACAAATTATCAAATTATCAAATTTTAATTAAGATTTTATAAAGAGCAAAATCAACACATAAATACATACATGATATATATATATATATAAACCAGTGTATCGCTCAGCTAATTAAATGTAGCTCTATATATCATCAGCTGCTCAACCATGACACTGCAAAATTTGAGCACAACTGCGCTTTAATGTGCAATCCAGTTATGCGATGTTGTAATACTCGGCACTTTAATGCTTAATTTCTTAAGACTCAGGTGTTATAGTGGAGATTTTTGACATTGCGGTGCTATGAAGCACTATGATACTAACCTTGGCTCTACCAGAGCATAGAATTATTAGCCATTTTTCTCTAAGCTCTTATGATATAATTTCTTGATTTGGCACTAAGGCATTATAGACGCTAGGGCGTTTGTAGTTAAAGTATTTAGGAGCTAGTTCAATACTTGTATATTTTTCTCCTTTTACAAAGCAATTTCTATACAACATCAACGAAACACCACATTTTCATTTATTTTTAAGACAATAGAACAGTAGTAAATTTACACTTAGCATATTTTTCCAAGCTTAAGCTCTTTCTTGTCCTCAAGTAATGGTGAAAAATGAATTTACACTAAATGAAACTTATAATTTCTACAAATGGAAATTTTCAATGGAAAAATTAATGAAAATGAAAATTTCCATTCAAGATTTTGTACTGCTCTATTACTAAATTTTACAC